AAAGTGTCAATTTATATTTTTATATCTTATATCACTTGTATTTTCATGTTTTTTAATATTTGCATTTTTAGAAAATTTTTATAGAATTTCTTATCTAAGTGAAAAGTTTGCTTAAATTGTGTTAGTATGAGGAATAACTTTATTTACTGTGATTATCAAGAAGGACTGAAAAAGCTTAATCACAAAAAACTATTGAAAATGAAGATTTAACACTTCAATTTGATGGTAGCGTTACTTCAAATTTTTTTTCTTCCTTGAACACTTTATGAAAGAAAAAAAAAATTTTTTTCATTGTGAACTAATGTGTATTTTTTGTAATTCATGTTACTTTATATCTTGCTAAAATTGCAATTTAATTCCTTTTATTTTAATTGTGTCATCATAGGGAAAGTTTTACAAAGGGATAATTTTTAAAATTTTTAGATATTAGTTAAAATTTTTCGGCGAGGGGGGATGTAACATAAAAAGCTTCTATTAATCTTTTTATGCTAGTTTCTCTGCTATAAAACAACTCCTACTTTATTAGTAATTAATTATTCAAGTCGAATTGCTTTCTCACACTTTCAATAGCTACATCCTGTTTCTAATTCTATTTTTGTCCCAACTATCATAAATTTACGTAGAGACTTTTTTTCCTTTTTAAGCCGTGAGAATCACTCGAGCAAGCTCATAAACCAAAAGTAATTTCTAAGATTTCCCTCTATTCCCTAAATAGAGACATTTTTGGATTTTTGCATGATTTTCCCTACCAGAAAGACTGATCCTGAATGGAGTTAACATCACTTTTTGCTGGTCTTCCACAAGAACATGATCTAAATAAAATACATCTGATTTCATTAAAATCCTGTGCCTGTTTCCCTGCTCGGTCCGACTGCATCATTTTACAGCCGAGCAGGATCATAAGAACTGATGAAACGAGAGCAGGATAATAATTGCTAAAATGCTTCTTCAAAATATAATTCAAAAATGAAAATAAAAATACAATTGGCTGAATCATAAAATTGCTGCTGAACTGACATTGCTCGTGAAACACATATTATTCTTTTGAAACATGACTAAAGGAAATTTTTTTAAATATTTATTTCCAGCATACTCCATAACAAGAGTTATAATACATGCATTGAAGAATAAGAATAACTAATTTAGATCAAAAATACAAAATGAAATACAGAAATAAAATATAAAAGCAGAGAAGTAAAATCAAAAAGAAAGAAAAGGAATATTACGAACAAACTTTTTAAAAATTGGTAGGCAGTCAGTATTGATCAGAGTATGACAGTTTGGTGGCCATTGTAATCCACTAGTGATTACATGTTTGAAAAGTTCACTACGATGAGAGTCTAATTCATTTCAGGAGAATAAAATATGTTCAATATTTTGAATTTTATTTTGGTCACAGCTGCAGAGTGGAGATTCTACGTGCTTGAATCTATGTAGGTATTCTTTACAACGAGCGTGTCCGGATAAGATTTGTGTGAATTTAAAATTAGGAATGAACTTTGGGGTCATTCTTTCTTACACTGATGGAAAAAACTTCTCTGTTACATAGCCGTTTTGTGTGGAGTCCCACTCACCTTGCCACAAATCCCCGGTCTTTCGAAGAATATCATTTTTGATAAAAGAATTAGGCAACTGATGGTGAGATCTGATTCGGCCGCCGCTTTCAACATACATTGTATGTCCTACTTACGTATGCATGTACACTTGAACATACAATGTACGTAAGTATTGATATACTATGTACTATATACTATGTACTGATATACAATGCATATAGGCATTCAACTTCTTTTACTTAGTCATGCAAGTATTTATATACAGTGCTCGCTCGTGCATATGCGCATAAGCATATTTATGTATTTGCGCAGTAACTATTTTTACAATTATTCGTTACATTATGATTGATGGTAAAAATGACTGCTTATAATCGTACATATTGATTAGATTGATTGTTTAAAATAAAAGATTTCGACCACTTGTAACCATATACCAGTTATCGCATCTCGTGATTACAGGTAATCATAATCACTTTTTATCTTAAATCTTTTCTTGTAACTTATAAAAATAATTACAAGTAGTTTATTACCATATACGTCTCATTTGCAATTGTCACAATCGTAATCAATTAGAGTAGTCTGTGTCCATTTTTCTTGAGCAATGAAATTATTCAGTTATTCTTGACTAATGAATAAATCTTTATTCATTATTCTGAAAGACAAATGCCCATCTCAGATATATATGTATATATATGTATACTTTAAGCGTTTTTAGAAGGGCGATCCACCTTGCCTGCCCTTTGATGCGCCCTCTTTACATTTCGTAAAAATAAACCGCCATCCCTTAGAAACACTGCCTTTTTATTCACATTTCATTTAAAAAAAATTAATTCACTGTTTAAATGAATACACACTGGTAAAATTATCTATAATTATTGATTTAATTTTGATAACTAAAGCAAATATTTATTTTGTCAGGATTATTCTCAACTGGTCAAATTTAAATACATTTCTCGTTCTTCGAAGGGCATACTAAGGAAATGTTTAAGTGATTTTAAATTTTAAAATTATTTATTAAAAAAATTTTTTGGAAATTGTTGAGAATCAAATGCAGTTTTTATATAATATTACACATTTTGATAAATGTTTATGGTGTTAAGTGAGTGCCCCTTTAAACTCCAAGTGCTTTTTTCTCTGAGGAAGATCCTTGCCTCTTTATATTCCTAGAGATAACTCTTTATATATATATATATATATATACTATCTGTATTCAAAACC